GGTGCTGAGGATCGAACCCGGGCCGCAGCATGCCAGGCGAGCGCGCTACCGCTTGAGCCACATCCCCAGCCCAATAACTAGTCTTTACTGAGCACTTAGAAAGTACTAAACACTTCTGTGGGTGTGAAACAAATGGTGAGAATATGAATTGGTCACTCTTATTATACTAATGAAATTACTTATTTTAATCAAGTCATGTTCGTGTCCTGATTTTATTTATTTGTTGTATCAATTTTCAGTGTGATACTTGTGATACTTGAAAAAGAAAAAAGAAAAGGAAGTACTAAACACTTTATATAAACTTTAAGACTTCCCCAAAGCGGGTGTACTCTTAGGAAGCATGTCAGAAAAAAGGTGAAGGGTCCTGGAGGCTGAGGCAGGAAGATTGAAAATTTGAGGTCAACCTGGATAACTTAGCGAGACCGTGTCTCCAAAAAAATTAAATAAATAAATGAATAATAAATAAAAAGGGCTGGGGATGCAAGTGGTAGAGCACTTGCCTAGCAAGAGTGAAGCCCTGGGTTCAGTCCCCTGTACAGCAGGACACAGAAAGTGAAGGATCTTGGGACATCACCCAGGAGACAGAACCAGAGCCTGTTCTTCACTGTTATGCTTTCATTCATTAATTCAACAATTATTAAGTTTCTCTGTTCTAGTGTCTGTGTGAAGTGCCATTGGTACAGCCTTTAAGAACCCAGACAGCCTCAATCTAATGGGGGCCAAACAATAGACAAGTGTAGAAACACAGAGAGACGCTGTCTCACAAAAGAAATGTAGTTGGGTGCAGTGCTACTTGGGAGGCTGGAGGAGGAGGATTGTCAAGTTTGAGGCCAGCCTGGGAAACTTAGTGAAAATCTGGTGACAAGAGGGCTGGAGATGTAGCTTAGTGGTTTATCATTTATCTAGAATATGTAAGGCCCTGGGTTCAATCTTTAGTGCCACAATAAATAAGCAATTAGATAAAAATTTTTAAAAAGATACATACAAATTGTTAAGAAATTTTTCATGTACATCATATACCAGATGGTGTAAAAGAGAGGGAAGGCCTACTTGAGATGTGATGATTGGCAGCAAAGACTTCTTTGATTGATCAAGCCAAGATAGAAGGAAGAAGGGAAAGTAACTGAAAAAAGGAGTCCGGGCTACACCTCAGGCTGAGTAAACAGCAAGTACAAACAACCTAAGGCCAAAAGCCTTCAGATAGAACTGGGGATGGGAGTGGCTCCACTGCAGAGAGTTTGTAGGAGAGGCCCTGGGTTCTGTTCCATAGCACACTCCACATCAAAGCATGCAGATGAAGACACTTGATAAATCTTAACTTCAAAACAGACAGGGGCTTAGTGAGCTTGGATGGAGGGAGGGAACTACAGTTAAGACTGGGGAAGAAGGCAGAGATCAGATCAAGTCAGGCCTTGTAGATTGGGTTTGGATTCTTATCCTAAGAACAATAGAAGCCACAGAAGGCCTTAGGTAGGGGAAGCAAATGACATTTGATTTTTTTTTTTTTTTTTGTGTGTGTGTTTACTGGAGATAATAAATGGTTGCAATAGTTTAGGTAAGAGACAGGTGGGAAAGATTGGGATGTAATGGTAAAGGTGAAGAGAAGTAAATGGATTCAAGAAATACTTTGGAGATTGAACAGATTTTTGGATTTTATGAAATTGTTTTGAATAACTGAGTGATGGTATTTTTTATTCCAGAGGAGTTTTGGGAGAGCAATAGGTTAGGTTAATACAATCAAGAGCTCTAGGTTGGACATACTAAATCTGATATGCCAACTGAGTGGAGATATCTAATAGGTAATTGAATGTCTGAGTTGGAAACTCAGAGGAGACACCTACTCTGGAAATATAAATTTGGATATTTTTAACATTTAGATGGTGTTTGAGTCTGTAAAGAGGTTATCTAGGCAAAGAGAAAGCATTGTTAAAAAAAGGCCCAGAACTGAGCTCTGAAATACCTCAACATTTAGAGGTCCTACCAGGGAGGAGAAGAAATGATCAGTAAGGTAGGAAAAATATTTAAGAAGTGCAGTGCCACAGAAGACAAGTGGAGAAGTGTTTTGTGACAGAGTGCCATCGTTGTTGAATGTTGCCAACAGGAAAAAGGAGACCAACGTAGAGAAGTGTTTATTGGGGGTGCACACCTGTAATCCCAGTGACTCTGGAGGCCCAGACAGGAGGATCACAAGTTCAAGGCCAACCTCAGCAATTTAGCAAGACTCTTGGCAAGTTAGTGAGACCTTGTCTCAAAACTTAAAAAAACCAAGGGGAAAAAAAAACACCTCAACAACAACAACAACAACAACACAACAAAATAGGATGTAGTTCAGTGGTAAAGTACCCCAGGGTTTGCTTCTCAGTACAAAAAAAAAAAAAAAAAAAAATATATATATATATATATATATATATATATATATAAATAATTTGGCAAACAGGGACTGTTCATGTCATTGATAACATTTTAGGCAGAATGGTGTAAAGAGATTAGGATGCATTAAAGAGGAAATAGAAGTAATGAATTAGAGACCATGCATATAGACAACTTGTTTTAGAAGTCTTATTGCAAAGAGGAGCTAAGAAGTGGGAGGATAGGATAAAGGGAAGGATTTTTTTTTTTTTTTGTAGTGCCTGAGATGGATATCAGGATCTGACACTTGCTAGGCAAGTGCTCTACCATTAGCTGCATCCTCAGCCATATTTATTTTTAGGATGGTAATGATCCAACAGAAGTAACCATAATACCATAAAGAAAAAACCTTGAGAAGGCTTGAGTGGGTGGAATCCATAGCACAAGGGGACGAAAAAACATATCTTTCACAGTATCAGGAAGAAAAATAGAGAAATTAAGGCAAATGCAAGCAGGTTTGTGACTTTCCTATTAGATGGGAATATTCCTCTCTAATGACTCCTATTTTCGGAAGGAAATATGAGGAGAGGTTGTTATGGAGGAATAAGAGAAGAAAGTGGAGGGTTTTGAAGAGAAAGCAAGGGGAAAAAACATCTTTGGAAGTGGAAAAATGAATTTATTAGAGAAATGCAGTAAGATTGTCAGGTAAAATCTCATGCCCTTCTGAGGTTTATGGGCAAGAATTTAATGTGAAAGCTTCAGGTCTCATTAAAGATGGTGAATTGTTGGATTCAACTAGGATTCAGGTTATACCAGGATTTTTTTTTTTTTTTTTTT